CTTCTCAGCACTCAGCCTGCTGGATCATTAACATAACAAAGGAGGATTATTGACTTTCATAGTCATGATGCCTTTGATTTGAAGCTGTCTTTGATTAGGGGCAGTAGGGCTCATTGGCCCAGAGGAGCACTGGTTTCCTCCAGGTGAAGAGCATGGAGATAAGCACGCTTTTGAGAAGAGGTAGGAAAGAGGAAAGAAGTAGCTGAAGAGGCTGAATAGAAGCTGTAATAGATGCAGTTAGTCGCTAGGAAGGACCCAAAAGCAGCCCATGATTCTGTAAGACAACTAAAAGCAAATTGTCCGGCTGAGCGATCGGAGGGCAAGGAAGATGCTCCCCACACTATAATTCAAGGGGCTGAATGGCCTCGAAAGCTGAGAGCTTAGGGGAAAGAAAAAACAGAAGATGAGGCAAATGATGGAACAGATGTGAACGCTTTTGTTGGCAGGACTTGGAGGCTAGCGGGATGGCGATAGGCTAATTTGAGACGCATAATGCCAGGATCCTTTCATATGCAGAACAGCACTTTGATCCAGTGTGGATGAAAGTGCTGAAAAGTGGAGAGGATGGCAGGGGGTCTTTTGTCTTTGACAAAAAAGGCATCTGCTGGGCTCTAACCTCCTTTTTTTCCACCCCCTTGGCCTAGTAGGCCACTCCAACAATGCTAGCAAAGGGGACAAGTGTCTCCTGACAGCTGAAGAAATCTCCAGGAGGAGAATGAGGCTTGCTGCAAGATGTATACCAGAGAGCTTAATCGATTTTTTCCACAGTACAAAAAGGGAGAGGGCTGGGGGAAGACAGAGAGATCACAGTGGAAATGGGAGGTGGGAGGGGGAAAAAAAATCTCTTTATAATAAACTTGTTACTTTTGTTCTCCAAATACATCTTTTCAGGGGATGCTTTGATGCCAGTATGAATACACTTAATGGAGCAGGGTATGGTAAAGTTGCAGGGGGGATGGGGGTGGAGAGTGTGAGTTAAGGAAGAGTAGTAGGCTTGCAGGGAGGACAAATGTTGAGTGATTTCTGCAGATTCCAAAACAGGGAAGATTTTTGAATTAATACAGTGCAAGAGACAATTGGAAGATAGACACATACTTTGTTTGAGAATTCAGCACAGCACAATTTTTTTGTTTCAGTTTCTAAGCAAAGCTGAAAAAAATTTCTTCAACTTTTTCTTCTTTTTATGTTGTTATATTGATTTCTTGGACTGATTAGGAATGAAGGGACTCCAGAACTAAACTGAGATTCAGAAAGACAGACAGTTGCATTTGTCCAAGCAAATACAGCAGTTGCAGATCAGCTGCTGGTTTGATCCCTGCTTCTCCATCTCATGCTCTGTTGACTTTCAGCTTTTCACCTCTAGTAAACAAAACTGGAATCCAGTCCCAAAAGGTTGATGCCTGTGGTCTTCATTAAGGATTGCTTTGTACCATGTCTTATGTTTTCTTTCAGAAATGATGATAGATAAGAGCTATCAACATATGAGCAAGACCCACCTTAGCGAATTAAATCCTTTAAGAACAGAAGGCTCAGGGATCTTCTTTCCTTTGAGATCCTGACAGTGTTTATCCATTACTGTTTACCAAAGATAACCTACTCCTTAGGACATGGCTTTAAGCAACACCTGGTGCTGCTAACAGCTCTCTCTTTACCCCAGCAGCTTTCTTTCACTTTCTGTCACTCTTCCTCCAGGAAGGTACGTGTGATGCAGAAATGAAGAGAAGCTATGACATTCCTTTGAAAGGCTCTGCATACACTGATGCTAAGTTGTAATCCTGTGTAATTGTTCAGTGGGTGTGCCATGGTCTCCCTTCAGCAGATGCCACTGTCCAATTCAGACCACCTGATTGTGGAGAATATTTTTGACAAAAGCATCTCCTGACCTCCAACTATGCAAAGACTACTGTAGATCATTAGGGAGGACTAATCATCAAGGCTATTGATACTGTTTTTATTCCTGACCGTTTGTCATATCTTGACTTTTCTGTGTCTCAGTGTACAAGGTGTGATTAAGGATGGTGCTGTGGGAGGCTGCTGCTGCTACCAGCAAGCAAGCCAAGATGATCTCTGTCCCTCACACAGTGAGGAGTAAGTCCCCTCAGCACGAGGTGTTTGCTGTTTGACTTCACTCCCAGGTGCTATGCACACTGATGGGACGCCTGGCAAGAGCCAAAGGAGCAAAGATGTAGCTCATGGGGAAATATGACCTGGCCGTCCTTCACACCAAAGAAGAGCAGCACACACAGCACCATGCAAGCTGACCAGCAGTGCAGTGGGGTCTAGGGCAACCTGCTGTGTCCCCACGCAGTTGTGACAAGGGCGGTGTGTAGGAATCTCAGCCAGTGATCTTGGGTACTTCATTTGCTTTGTGATGTGAAAAATGAAGCACCTCATGAAGAAGAGTCTTCCCTATCTGGGCGGGCAAGTCCTTCAGCTGCTACAATCTTGAGATTTCTACATGTGTCCAGTATGAAGTTTTCCATCTGCACACCAGAAAAAAATACCCTTACTGTAGTCCAGAGATCGGTCAAAGGTTTTTGTCATGTCAGCAGTAAGGCCTGGAAATGTGAAAGTTTTGGGAGTGCACTGTTGCTATTCCCGTGTAAATGTGTGCAGTAATCCTTCATATCTGCAGGTAGTCATTCCAGTTTTAAACTGCGCCCTTAAGGCAGATCAGTTCAGCCATTTGCAGTTTACTGTGTGCAAGTTTTTTATTGCTGGTGAATGGGCATGAGGAAGAAAGATGCCTCTGTGAAATGACCTGGTTGCTGTCTTCCAGGCTAGGTGGGTGAGACTGAGTCTGTCTCCCCTAAAACATGAAGTGAGGCTGTAGAGAAAAACTGTGGGGGAGCCAAGTATAGCCTGCAGACAGCCAGCCAGGAGAAAGCAAAAGCAGGAGCACAGTCTGTGAGAGTACAGCAGAGAGGAAGGTTTGCTTTTTTGTGTGTCTCATCCAGAAGGTTAGTGTTTTCTCCGCAGATGATGACTACCCTCTGCTGGTTTCTGTTTGGATTAAAAACAAACTGTAAAGATTGCAAAGCCTCTCTTTGTACATTGAGACAGAGCTACCTGACCAGCACAGGAACCCTTTACAGGTCTTATTGCCATTCTGTGGACAGGAACAATCTGGTAATTGTTTGAAAGGCTGCAGAGTCTACTAAGAACCATATTGCTTGAATGGCAAATTATCCCAGTGGTTGCTGCTACAGTAATCCAAATAACCTACATAATAAGTCATCCTCATGGAAGTGTTTTTGGCTGGACTGGTTGTACATAGGAGCTTTTCCTCATGTCACCTCATAATCTTCGCTGTAGAAGCCTTCCTTACATTTTCAGCATAGATTTGGCTTCTGCCTCAGTGAATCTCATCTGGTCATTAACATCCATTAGAGCTTCTCTGTGTGGGAACTCAAGCCAAACAAATGGAAAACAATGACTTCGGAGTACAATCAACTCCAGCCTCCATGAAAACTCATGTCTTGAAATAAAGCAATTTCCATTTGGTTTTATTTAATTGTCTTCCAAATAAAGCAAATGTCCTTTGCAATGTCACCACTGGTTAGTTTGATGTAACTTTCCTTAGCATCCGCTTTAAGATGTTTTTGTAATGAGGTGCAGTTTGCACCAGTAGAATGAATTCTCGCCCTTTTTAAAAATGTGAGATGGGACTGTTCATGAGAACACTTCTGGAATTAACATTAAATTTTGTTTTACATATTTGGCTCAATACACAGTGATTCGGAGTCACAAGGGCATGTTTAGCTGTAGTGGGGACAGTGTGATTTCAAGTTCTGTGTACTTTTCTGGCTTGCACTAGGAAGGAGGGAGTTGTGCCCATTTGTTCCTACATCTACTCTGTCTGTCCTCAAAACCCAAGATTTGTTCACACAATCTGCGTACGCAAAGAATGTGTTCACATATGTGTGAATTTCATGTTGGTACTCCAGTTCCATATTGCTTTGGATGGTGTTTGAAACCAGTCTCCAAGAAGAGTGAGTTCCACAGGGTCATCATCACACTGAACAGTGTAATCTCATCTTGGAAAATAACCCTCCCAAGAATAATTCTGAAATGCATTTGAAGACCTCATCAGACATCCCTCAGCTGACTTGCTCTAGACATAAATGATGATAAGCTAGTAGGTAACATGAAAGCTTGTTGCTTTCTTTTGCCTTTCAATTGCTGATGATCTGTGTGTGCTCGTGGAATGAGGCAGTGGGGTGGCAGCTCGCTGGGTTAGGCCCTGAGGCCACCACTAAGTGGCACTGGCACAACAACATCTGAAGATGACTCTTGTCATCCTGTAAGGGTAGGACACTACTCTGGTTGTTGTTCTGGTGTATGGTCAGCTTGAGGCATAGAGAGTGAGAGCATTCATTTTCCTGGAATGCAACTCAGCGAGGAGGAGGGAGCATCACCCAAGGACTGCCGTCCCCAGACTTCGCCTGTGGGGAAGGTGGTGGCCTATGGTGCTGCCAGCCACTCTGACAGTTCCTGGGATGGGGGGTTGGGAGGATGTACCAAGTGGCACGGTGAAAAGTGTTTTCTGGATAAGGAAGAAGGGATGAACAAGAGCAAGCTGTGCTCATTTGAGTTGTGGGGGATGGGAGGGAGTTCCGCCTAGAGCTCTGTATAGGCAGGCATACTGTTGTCTAGGGGTGCAAGAGTGCCCTTCCTTCAAAGGACTGGAAAAATAAAGAAGGCCCTCTCACCCCAATCTGCACTTTTGTATCTTTTTGTATCTTTGCCTGTAATCACAGTGCAGGCAAAACCACATGGAGTTCTGTGCTTATTTCCTCTGCTTAGGTCTGTGGGACCCGATGTGCAAATAGCTGTGGACCTGGAAGAGACCTGGGTTGGTGAAATGTGGATTAGGGTTCTCAGACTGGGAACAGTTTTGGCAAGTTCCCAGAGGTCAGCTGCGTGTCTGTGACCACCTCAAGGAGCCAGACAAGAACTCACCAGGAACTCTGTCTTTTCCTCCCTCTCCCCTCCCCCAGGTGATCTTTGCTTTGAATCAGACTCTCTTGCAGCAGGAGAGCCTCCGAGCAGGCAGTTTCCAGATCCCCTATACGACAGAAGATCTTATCAAGCATTACAACTGTGGAGACCTCAACTCTATCATCTTCAACCATGACACTTCTCAAGTGAGTCTTGCCACCACAGCCCTTGTACTATGCACACATCCCAATAGCGCTAACTCCTATCTCATGCTTGTCTCCCCTCAGGCAGGCCCTTTGCAGGCAGGGGCTAAAGACACCTGACTGGCCCTCTAGTGTGTCTGCTTCCTGCATCTCCTCCTCCAGGAGCCTGCACTAGCTCACTACCATCTTAGCGCACACAAGCAGTGAAGGCACAGCTGGCTTTTTCTTGTGGACAAATGTCATGTTTGCTTTAGCATCAAAGCTCTATGAGTTAATCCTTTATTTTCCTGGGTATCCTTTGGGATTGTGCCAGCTTGGGTAGGATCAAGCGTAGCACCAGCGGAGAGCAGAAGCAGACTGTTGTGCAAACAGTGATAGAGAATTGATCTCTTTACTTGTACACTTGCATGAGGCTGGGCAAGTTGCAAGCTTTTCTGTTTTCCCTAAGAGTATGATTGCATATTACAAAGTCCAAAGAAGATAAATAGAATGAAACAGATAGATTTTGACTGAATGTCAGGGAAAGGAAAACTTCAGAGGCCTCACAGACTTCATTTATGGAAACTGTTTCCCAAGCAGCGCAGTGGAATGCAACGCTCTGATCTTTAAACTTCAAGAAAATGCCCAGCAGGGACCAATTTGGCCTGTTGGGGCTGTTAGATTAGTTAGGCTCAGTCTGAAACATCAGGCCTCTCTTTATTCATGTGTGTGAGGTACTGCCTGGCAAGTACTTCACGCACTTCAGTGAAAATGTTGCTTTAGCCTGGCAGTGCTGACAAAGTGTCTGTTGGAATCTGAGCTCTCCCTGCGGAGTATCAGTTTTTCTATAGGCTTTTGATATGTATGGTGCAGCACTACAGAGCTGGAAATACCGTCATACTAACCCTTGCTTCTCTGGCACTGCGCTTTGCACGTGTGTTTTACCTTCCTGTCCTGTACATCCTTCAGCCTGCCAGTGCTGGCAGCCTGGTCATTAATAATGCTTAGCTCTTCACAGTGCATTTCATTCATAAATTTGAAAGGGCTTCTCAAAGGAGGTTAGTGCTGTAACAACGTACAGATGCTACATCACTATTCTGCTGGAGTGTCATGGACAGCAGACAGCTGGCGTTGCCTTGAGGGTCTTGGAGAGAACAGCTCTTGCCAAGACATGCATGTCTCTTAAGAAGCAAAGGCCTTTTCTTAGTAAGAGGCCTCTACACAGGGCAGTTGAGTTACAGTAGTAGCCTGAGATTCCATCAGGTTACACTTTTAAGGAGAACTCTGTCATCTGTATATGACCTTGTGCTTGACCAGTAGATGTCCCATTGTGGACTAAACACTCTTCTGTGATAGACTATGAATTAGAGCATCAGCAGGTGCTGCATCTTTGCAAAGGAAAGTACCTTGCTTAGTGGCTCTTTTTTCCCAGGAGCTCCCTCTTGCAGACTCTTTTCTTAGCAGTCTCTGTAATTGCAATGTCCAAAGCTACTTATGGAAGATTTCACGATGGCTGCAACATGTGACTCTCTCTACTTGCAAGAGGCTGCAGCTACAGCTGTCCTGGGAATCCCAGGAGATGAACACAGCATTTGAAAAGATACCTTAATGACAGGAAAACTAAGAGCTGGTTAAATTGTCTTTTCTGACAAAATCTGTTCCTCCTTCTTTTGGAAAATTTTGAGATCTTTATGTTAATTAGTTAAGAGTGCACACTTATTTTTTTGACAGCCCCAAGGGTCTGAAACCAGTCAAATTCTCCTAGAAGAGTGTAATTATAGTTGCGTCATACCCATGGTAATTTCAGGAAGAGTTACATAGCTAAAGATAGCCAGGAACAAATACTTTCTTCAGTCAAACAGCCAGGACATGGGATCAATGGTGTGGAAAACTAAGAGTATTTATTCACTTTGCATAAAATAATGATAATAGTTTGGCTCACTTATGAAAGGATGTGTTGAGAGAAAGGGCACTGTGCATCAGTGCAAGTCTGTAGAGTTGTTTTTTGGCCCTCTGTGATTTTTATCCTATTGGATGTGTTTTGAGAAACAAAGCCATTGCCACATTCAGTGATAGAGCAAAATGCCTGTGTGTGCTGGCTGTCTGAAATAAATGGCCCTTTTTTGAGGACTTCTTGTTTCTTTCTGTCTTAGGTCCCAAATTTCATTAATGCTACACTGCCAGCCCATGAGCGTATTACTGCCCAAGAGATAGACAGCTACTTCCGTCAGGAGCTCATCTACAAGCGAAATGAGCGAATGGGAAGGAGGGTGAAGGAGCTGCTGGAAGAATACCCTGACAAGAGCTTCTTTTTTGCATTTGGAGCTGGTACGTGATTGAGGCGATCTTCAAACTAATCACATTCTTTCCACGTCCATTAGAATCACAAGTGTTTGCCTTGGTTTGGAGAAGGATCAGTACTTTTTCTGTGGGGGACACAAGACACAGCTCTGTTCTGAGAGTTGTGTAATATTAGGAATGCTTTCTCCGGTATGCATAGCGCTTGTGCTATGCGTTAATTACAAAATTTAATAGTTACAGATTTGTTTTTGTTTGCTTTTTTCTTTGATTTTCATTGATACTGAAGTAACTGTAGTGCTTACACAAAAGCTCTTACTCGTAGACTCTTGCCAACCAAAGCAGAATGTCAGAAGTACAGAGCTGAGGTGAAAGGTAGTAAGAGGTTACACTGGTAATTGAATAAACCTTTCAAGAGTCCATCCAAAAGAATGATGTGCCACGGGATGTGAAACTGAGACCCTATAAATAGAAGGAGAGAGGCAGGCTTTCACCTTTCTCTTTCTGCTGCGGAACATTACCTCCTTCACTGTGCTTTCACAGCTACAAGGGAATTTTGTCTCTGTTTTGGAACAGAACGTTTTCTCATCTAGGGAAAAAATACTGCATCTGGCTCTTAGCAGCCAGCAGGAATCCATAGGCAAATGCAGTGGCATATCCAGCCTGGTAAGGTTAACACCCGTGGTTTAGACTAGCGATGTACGAAGAATGTGGAAAGGATTGGTTTGCCACAACTGTCTTCCTTTATTCTAGCTCCAAGAAAGTGAAGAAGTGAGGATCCAGGTAGGTTCTGATTCTATAGAGTTACTGCATTTTGTCCACTATTAACCATATGGTCCTTAGGAGACAGGGAGAACTGAAAGTGTTGTCTGGATCCATGTGATGTTTTCTGGTTTCAGAGGCTACTGCTTTGGTTAGGATGAAAGATCTAGGCATGGTAAGGAAAACATTTACTTGAAGAGTGTAAAAACATTTGAATTTGAAGTCTGTGAGAATGTCCTCACTTGCAGGAGGGAGTTGTGGTTACAAACTTAACAAGAGACCTTTGTGTGAGAGCAGGGAGGTAATGATGTGTGACTGATAATGTTAAGGCATGCGTGAAGATTATAATGTGTTATCTTCTTATGGTATCACTCTGCTCTGTGCAAATCCCTGTCAGGAATTAGGCACAGCTTATGTACATCTTGGTCTCTGAGTTAAGACTAGAGCTTTGCTCTGTACTGCAGTAGCTAATGTGGTTCTAATGCTTGTCCCTGCTGATCTGAAATTCCTCATTAGCGTATACATCTGTCCCGAGTGTCACCTGCATCAACTGAAGATAGCCAGTCCTCTGATTGCCTATTTTAGTAAAGCAGAGTTAAGATTTGCACAGCATTCTGCTGCTGCGTTACTGCCTGGAGCCTTGAGCCCACGTGAATACAATCAGTGGCTAGTGTGCACGTGGCTTGCTTTCCAGCCACCAGGCATGCTTTTTCAGCATATTTCTGAATCCAGATAGGTTCACTGTCTTCCCTGGGGACTCCAGATCTGCTTTGAAGCTGTCTGTAATTACACTCTGGCTTTGCTACTAGACTGGCCTCTATTCTCATCTGCTCTTCTAAATAAAGGTAATACTCTAATAATACTCTTCTAAAAGGCACTGCCAGCCTCCCCCTGCCCCTTTTACATTGGGGAATTAAACACTAATATGTGTGGATACATGTGAGCAAGAGCTCTGTTGTAGGAACACACTTTTAACAGGACAATTCTTCATTATCTCCTTGTTTGTTTGCATCTGGGTTTCTTCATTTGCTTTGTATTAATTGCCTAAATTAGATAAGTAATATGACACAATATAATGCAGGAAAAAAATCAATTTCTATACAGTTGTGAGATCTTGTGAGCCCACCTTGCAAATCTGAGGGCAGGCTTTTGTTTTCTAGCAGGCTAGTGTAGGTTTTTTTTTAATTCAGATTGCTGTGTGATAGGTGATTCTACAGAAGATTTGTTTTGGAGCCAGCAAATAATGAACTAATAAATTGTACCAAGTTTTGAGCATTGCTTGAGTATTGTGCTTATGTTCAATTACTGGAAAAAGGCTCCAAGAATGTGATAGCACAAGGACAAATTAGAATGAGAGGCAGCAGAACATAGAAGAGAAAAGAGTAAGACTGTAGGAGTGATCACTGCATTGTGATTTTCCTTCTTTCGGCCATCAGTGAAAAAAATATCTCCCAGCAATGACTGATAAATTGCAGGACAAGACTGTGTTAAATAGTAGTAGGATTTCAAAGGGTTTATGGCTAAACCAGATTTTCAGTGGCACATTCTTTGTCTTTAAAATGGATATGCTTTTTGCAATGAAGGTTCATTTTTTCTGTTAACCAAACATCATTGAAAAAACACTTTTATCATCAATTGTATCCAGACAAGGTCATGGTTTTTGGATGTCTGAGGTGTTATAAATACCTCCTAATGTATGAAATACTCTTGACATTTTTATTGTGAATGAGGGAAAATCAGACAAGGCCGATTCCTTATTTTATATGCCAGGTGGCTTAATGCATGTTAGAGATTTGTAATGCATTTTGAAAGAAAAGCTGATACATCTTTTCAGGTCCTCATCTATCTGCATGACTGCAGATGTTGATTTCTTACATGGAATTATATGTGGCAATTTGCACTGAAGTAGGTTTCCTTGTTTAGCCCAGTGTATTTTATGTTCTTACTAGATTTCAGTAGGTGATACACGCTGCACCTATGTTCTGTTTAAAGCATCTCACAACCAAGGTACATTTCTGGAACTATTTTTGTTTGGAAGTAATTTAAGTTTACAAAAAATAAAGAAGAAAAAATTACAGATTATGCTGAAACAAACAAAAAACTTTGCTTTTGGCCAAAGTGGGAACCTGGAAAGCCTCAAATCCGTTGGTGGGAATTACAAAAATGTATGTAGAGAGGGTGCAGGTAATTCCCGTGACATTCCACTGGAGTCAATAAGAATTTTGTCTTAATTGTGGATAGGGCTTTTTATACTTAGTCAACATTTAGAGGTAACAAGCCAGACTTACTTACTGTTGCCTGTAGAACTTGGGGATAAAGCCATCTCTAATTTTAGCAGCAGTCTTTCTTCTTTGTTCATTTTTAATTTCTCTGAACTTTATGTAGAGCATTCAAGATTTGAATGCTAAACCAAAGTGACTGGTGGCACTTTTTAATCCATTATCAGCCGATTTAACAGCAGTATATGTTTATGGCTTATCCAGAGATGCAAACTGACATAGGTAGGGCTACATATTTCCATTGCACTGCAGAGTTCTAGCACTTTTACAGATCAATTACAAGGGTGCTGCCTGCTTACTGAGCCATCACAGAACACCATAAGAGTTGAGAATAGCAGGAGATCACCTGGTCCAACTCACCAGAGCAGGGTCGTTTAGACCAGGTTGCCTGCATATGATCAGATTCTGAGCATCTCCAAAAATGGAGACTCCACAACCTCTTTGGGCAACTTATTCTAGTATTTGACCACTTTCATCGTAAAATAGCTTTTTCTTACGTTTAACTGCAATTTTCCATGTATCCTCTTGTGTACACTGTCTCTTGGCCTTCTGCGTGCACCACTGAGATAAGTCCTGCTCCATCACATGGGAGGTCTGCCGCCTCCCAGGGCCCAGGTTAAAGATGTAAGGAGGAAACTTCCTTCCCCAGTTCGGCCCTCAGTTTATTATCTTCTGTTGTTGTTTCAGGTAGGCAGTGACGAAATAGAAAGAACTTCCCTAAGGGTTATGAATAAGGACTTCAGAGCCGTGGGGTGACTGGTCAGGAGTTCGGGAGAACAACTCATGTTCTCCTCTATCCCTCCAGTTATAGGGAATGATGAGGGACTGAACATCATGGGCCAGCAAATTAATACTTGTCTCTGAGCCTGGTGTGCCCAGCAGGGGTTTGGTCTTTTTTGACCTCAGCTCAATTTACATGAGACCAGGCCTGCTGGCAACCAATGAGAATAGCTTATCCTACCAGTGAAAAGGGATTTCACGATGGGAATTGGGAAGGCTCATTGACTGAGCTTTAAACTAGTTATGAAGAGGGATGGGTGTAAAACCAGGATCACTAGAAGGGAGCCTGTATGTAACATGCCAATGCTTGTGGGAGGGGGATGTGCTAGTACGATTCCACAGTTTTGTGTCTTGCTGAAAGAGGAGGATGACACACCTTTAAGTGTTGATGTGAGGTTGGTTACTACGGAAACACCCGAGTGTGGTCAAGAGGGTATTAGGGCTTCTCCTACTCAAAAGGTGGCCCAGCTCACGTGTATTTACACTGATGCACTCAGCATGGGTAACAAACAGAAGGAACTGGAAGCCATTGTGCAGTTGGAAAACTATGATATGGTTGCCATTGTGGAAATGTGGTGGGATGACTCAAACAACTGAAGTGCTGTGATTGATGGCTACCAACTTTTCAAGAGGTAGGCAAACCAGGAAACGCGGTGGTGTAGCTCTCTACATTAAGAAAGAATGCGGATATATGGAAATCAGTAATGGTGATGGTAAGGTTGAGAGCTTATGGATCAGAATAAAAGCGAAGGCCAATAAGACGGACATTATCTAGGGAGTCTGCTATACTCCACCCAGCCTGAACAAAGAGGTAGATAAGATACTTTATAGACAGACGTGTAAAGTCTCAAGGTCTCTACCCCTTGTTCTTGTGGGGGACTTCAACTTCCCAGACATCGGCTGGAATTATAATACAGCAGGAAGGGAACAGACTTGGAGGTTCCTAGAGTGTATGGGAGATAACCTCCTGACACAGCTGGTAAAGGAGCCAACATGGGACAGCAAAATCCTGGACCTGCTGTTTGTTAACAGAGAAGGTCTTCTGATGGATGTAAATGTTGGAGGCCATCTGGGGCAAAGTGATCACGAAATGGTAGGTTTTTTGATCCTTACTGAGTCACAGAGAAGAGTCAGCAGAGTTCCCACCTTGGACTTCGGAGGACTTTGGTCACTTTTGGACCATGGTTGAGAGAGTCCCTTGGGAAGTAG